AACATTAAAATCAGTCTTTCGGATCGTATGGATTACTGACTTGGTGGAGAAATTATATCTATAAACTCGGGAAATGGATGTGACAGGGTAGGTGAATATTATAACACTAGTCAGCTTATGTGTTGTCCATTTGGGTTCATGGCTCAGGGGCAGACAGCTCAACAAGGAGCCTAATTCTGTTGGGAAATAAGTTTCATCTCACATCATCAAAATATGGTGAATGGTGGAGTTGGCCTTTACATATGTATAGGCGGTCTAGATGACAGTCGGTCGTGTGAAGATGGAGAAGAGTGGCTGTGTTGGTACGAATACTGTGTTGGTAGTGGAATGGGCGATGACGGGGTGGTAACCATGAAATTTACACAGAAGCCAAAGATTGATTACCAGTAGCAATGAACATCCCGTTTAAGGCCAACTGATGTGCTGCAAGTGAGTGTGGAGTGAGACTCAGGCTCTCTGGTGTGCCGCCCTTAAGTGTGAAGTAAGACGCAAGCCAACTGATATAGCGAGAGCGATTAATGAAGTGAGATGCAGGCCAACTGATGTGCCGCCAGTAAGTGTGAAGTGAGACGCAGGACAACTGATGTGCCGTCAGTGAGTGTGAAGTGAGGCGCAGGCCAACTGATGTGCCACCATTAGGTGTGAATTGAGACGCGGGCCAACTGATTTGCCGAGAGTGAGTGTGAAGTGAGTCGCATGCCTACTGATGTGCCGCCAGTGCGTGTGAAGCTAGACGAAGATCAACTGATGTGCCACCAGTGCCACCAGTGAGTGGGAAGTGAGACATGTGGTCTGCCACAGTCAACGGTCAGTTTGACTATCTACCTAGTGAAGCCGAGTTATGCGTCTATGTCATAATATGATTTGCTCCATATTACACAATGGCCAGTTTGTTCCCGTGATTACACGCGCTGGTTAAGGGTAGGCTAAAACTGGAAACATATTGAGGGCGTGGATAAATAAATGAAAGAGGTGAGGACATATGGGATGATGAAAAATAACTATCGACTAAGAGGTGTGCGTAACAAGCAATAGATGTAGGGAAGACGGAAGGATTGAATGAAAGACTAAGAAGTACTCTGTAGGTATGCTAAATAATCATCTAGGACACTCCTAATGTATGCGCGCTCAATAATCATCTAGGATACTCCTTGTGTATGCACGCTAAATAATCATCTAGGATACTCCTAATGTATGCGCGCTCAATAATCATCTAGGATACTCCTAATTTAGGCGGGCTTAATAATTATCTAGGATACTCCCAATTTAGGCATGCTTAATAATCATCTAGGAAACTCCTAATTTAGGCGTGCTTAATAATCATCTGTTTGCAATAGCCTCACTAAAAATATCCCTGCTGTCCCCGAATGGCTACCAGATGCGATGATGATGATGAGAGATAGCTAATCCTTTAAATGTCCAATCAAACTGTTACACGAAATGGTTGAATTCACCTTCAAATGTCAAACCTGCCGGGAACAGTTGTTCTGATCAATTTCAACCTGAAAAAGAGAGGAGAGTAAAAATTGTATTTCTAAAATTATTAAATGCGGTTTTTTTTAATGAGAAGATAGAATACTTAGTATGACTTACTGTCGGAAATGGTGTGACTTACTGTCGGAAATAGGGTGACTTACTGTCGGAAATAGTGTGACTTACTGTCAGCAACACCTGAAATTTTCATTTTGTTACATCAGATCGCAAAAAATAAAGGGATACAACAAATGATAATTATATTTTGCTCTTTAACTTTATTAGTTCCCTTTAAATCTTCAATTCGAGCTTCGTCGGCCCCACTCTCTCGACCTTATTTTGAATCCAATGGCAAGACTTGGTCAAGCCAGGGTTTCTTTCAGCTATATCAATGGAACGGGCCGGGGGAGTGCCTCTCCGAACCTTGCCAGGTAGAGCCCGGTCCTACGGCACTGGCCTTGGGAGTACCTCTACCGAACCGTGCCGGGGGGGGAGCAGGTCCAATGGCATGGGCAAGAGGAGTTCCTCTTCCAAACCTTGCCGGGGGTGGGGGCTTGTTTCTTAGCACTGGCCAGGGGAATGCCCCTCCCGAACCTTGCCAGAGGACGCCCGGTCCCATGGCATAGGCAAGGGGAGTGCTCCTCCAGTATCTTGCCACAGGGAGTCCGGTCCCACGGCATAGGCAAGGGGAGTGCTCCTCCAGTAACTTGCCAGAGGGAGTCCGGTCCCATGGCACCGGCCGTGTAAGCGCCCCTTCCCGAACTTTGCCAGGGGGAGCCTGCTCCCATGGCACGGACCGGGGGAGTGCCCCTACAAAACCTTGCCAGGAGGAGCCCGGTCCCATGGCACTGGCTGAGGAAGTGCCTCCGTGCCCCCTGTGCCCCTGTGCCTCTGTGCATAGGTATAGATGTATAGGCTTAGTCATACGCTAAATCATTCGCTTAGACATAGGTATACTAGTAAGACACAAAGAAACAGAAGATTTTGACTTAGTTTCAACCACGAGTGAAGTAGCAAAATAGTTCATGTCTTTCTGACGAAGAAAGCTGATTTCTTTTTACTGACTAAATATTTCAAACGCACCGGACGCTCAAGACCCATTCTCAAACTATCGTGACAATGTTTCTACTATGCCCCAGTCAAAAAACAACAACCATACACACATTATAAATGCCACAACTCAGTGGCGTAGCTAGGGAGGTGCGAGGATAAGAACCACCCGCTGTCACACCTCTCAGGTGTGCCACCAAATTGGAAATTAGTATATATACGCATTGGTTCTATGTGAATCTATTGATCTAGGCCTGTTTTAGTAGCATTACCCTTCATTGTCCCACTGATTTTTATTGGGTCCCATATCTCGGGCAAAACTAATTCGTTACAATTATGGAAGGGGCCCCGCTAAGACCCACTCTTTCAACTTAAATGTACCATAGTTATAGCACTGCATTCAGTTGTATAATTTTTCTTAATCAAAAATAATTTCGTCAAAACGTCATTTTTTACACCTTATGGGGAGGATATTCAATTTACCATAGCAACGGGGGTCGGGATCCTTCCGGGATACCATCGTGTAACGAGATCCGATTGTGATCTCTCTGGAATTGAGATCCCATATAGGGAACGAAAATTTTAGAAAAGTTATTATAAATGTGTTTTTATACGAGACAAAGGAATTTTTTTCTTTTATTTTCAACACACGGAAAAACAAAATCAGGCTCTAAGGGTTAATGTAAGGGTGGGCAAACCTCAGCCCGCCATGTTAAGTGATATGGCCCGCCAGATGAATCCCAAATGAAAATTTGTTCTCATTCAAATAGCAATTATTTTAATTTTTGGCATAAACGCACATTTTTATATTTTAGTACATCTTTTTTGTGTGGACGATACGCGCCATTTCGCTGCACTCGCCCCAATTTTGGACTGTGAAGAGTTCAAGGGAAAAACCAGTGATGTCAGTTTGTTTTTTTTTTAAATTTAGGTTACCTCCCCTGTGGCCATATTCCATTCAATAAAATAATATGGCACATGGGCCTAACTGAAAATGCAGCGTAGTCAATAAATAAATTTTTAGATCTATTGACATTTTTATACTTGCATCAGGAATTTTAAAAATTAATTATTAATTTTCCTCAAAACTCTCAAAATCTGACATCTCTGGTTTTTTCCCTTGAACCTGGAAAACAGAGTGAAATACATTATCTACATGACATGAATCAGATGAATCGAGACGGTAAAAATTAAACACTTTCAAAAATTACGCTTTACCCATTTTTAGAGTTAGCAAAATAATATTTAGATCTAACCAAAATTTTCGCATGTTTTTTTATTTAAATGTAAAAAATAGTTTTTGAATCAAAATATATTAAAACTAAGAAATACTCAAAAATAAATATTTTCGCAGATTCGCCACTAGCACCGCCCAATAACATTTGTGCACTATTATCCTACATCACAAGGTCTTTTACATGCTGACTGTGATTTTACTTTTAACTGCTACATTTCCGTTTGGACTCATCTACTTAAGGAAGTTAATCTTATACAGCAGTTTATACAGAACAAAGGCTTTACTCTTGAGAAAGTGGTCACCAACCTAGAGGTCCCAAGATTGTTTCTCCAAGAGTTTACTATCAGCTAGTGAAGAAGAGTTTTTGATGTCCGTTCCAAAATTAACTTCTTTCTATGTTGAATTATCAGAAGATGAGCTTTTACATGAAATATTAAGGCTTCCAAGACACCTAAAGGCAGCTGATATTGAATTTCACAAAGTCATGGTCATGGCCATTTTCAGTATTTGATGTTTTTAAATTCATAGCTGAATAAGACTTCCTAGAATCTCATCCAGTACTCTCGCTAAGCCTTCAATTGTTTCTTATGGTCTGTATATGTGGCTTCATGTGATCAGAGCTTTTCAAAATAAAGGCTTATCAAGAACTATTTACGATCCAACATAGGACAGCCAAGGATTTTTGGTCTGGCTCTAATATCAATTAAAATAGATACGGTGAAGAATATTGATTTTGCTCAAGTGAGTGACAGGTTTGCAGCTGTGAAAACCAGGAAAGCAAAATTTTTAATAAATTAAATTTGTGCAAAAATAACGATAACGTAACGCTGTTACAGTTCTTAAATACATTTACCTCCTGGCTCCTGAACTTAGGGTTTTTTTAAAATTATTATTATTATTATTATTATTGTTTCTTGTCATTGTTATACTGTGGATTTATTTTAAAAAGGGAGAAATCCATCGTGGAAGTCGGGGGGGGGGGGGGGGGGGGGTGACACCATTAATTTACCGCACCGGGTGACACCAACCCTTGGTACGCCACTGATAAAAAACAACTTTTTTTTTAGGGGTTGTTTAATTTAAAATAAATCTTATTTTCAATTCCAGCATCTAAACATTAAATTATGTCACCTACGTTCTCTACCTGCTTTCATTAGTAAAAAATTTGACAGATAAAAGATTTTTTTTTTATTTCTATAAATAAACAAATTACACTGTGTTCTAATTTGTTAAAGTTCAGCGATTGGTAACAAGAATACACCTGATAGCATTGACTTTGGCTTGATGTCATAGTTAACATCATTCTCGGTAAATGGAGTGACCCAAACTTAACAATCTAAAATGTCTAGACGCCCAGCAGGAATCGCAGCAATTAAAAATAAAAATCTTGCTCAGGTCAGTAATTTTAAGTACAGTCGGTCATTGTATTACTTCTATATTCCATTATCGTATAAATTACAGACGTGATCGTGGGTTATCAATTGACTCAATGCTGAGGTCGGTTGTTTAGTTACGGTACCTAATTTTATTAATTTTAGTTAAGGCCCTACTACTAGTGGCACTGCGGCACTAGTCACTCTACTAGTGAAGTGGTCCATCTAGGCAGGCCTAAGTTTCTAAGTCCTGCCCTAGCCTAGATGAAGATGTAAGTCATCGTAAGTCTTAGTCTTAGTTTTGCCAAGTTGGCTTAGGCCTTAGCTTAGCCTCCGCAGGCCTATTAAAATTTAAAAAAAATAGGTATTGACTTGATAAATCATTTTAATTATAATATTAATATACAAGATAACTAGATAGAGCCCGCCCAACATTGGCTGCGTGAACTTCCCATCTACTTAAGTTACTTGACAAAACATGAACTCAAGTAACACACATTTAAGAATCCCAATATTTGCTAAACCCCTTCCACCATGATGATACGTCACTGCACACCTTTTAATTTCACGCCCATGAACTATATTATATACTGTATTAAATATTCTCATGTCCCAACCACTTTTAAACCGAGTAATTTTTACACAATACTTAAATTGAGACGATTTCATTTCAGAAAAGAAAATATTACGCACCAAACGCAATTGCGTTATTAAAAATATATCTATATCATTTAATGTAGTCATTGTTGGGAATTATATTTTGCGGGCTAGTGAACTCATTATTTAACCACACTCTGGCGTATCTATATATAGCCTGAGTGTTGGTGTTTGACCTTTGCCTTTGCTGGTGAATTATATATATATAGATGGATATTAATTGATTATGCCATGTCTACTACTTGTAGGTAATCTCCTCCTATTTTAGAACAGGGTAATATATTAAAAGCCATTTATGAGTCACATCTGAAATGGCATTCTGGTAAAAGATGTGAAGCATGACACTTGGCTTCGTAATAAAATTCCAAAAAACACCTGAGAGTACCGATGTCGATGTCAAATTCAAATTTTTGGTTGATGTGTGAAGAATCCTCTTAATAGCGGACCAGGGAAACATCATAAGTGCACCAGGGAAACATCCTGAGTGGATCAGGGCAGCATATAATGAGCAAATTAGGGATTTTGGTACAAGGTTTAAACAATACATGGCAGGTTGACATTATTTTGATGTACTGTAACTTAGGTGTACCGTGACACTATTGTTAAGGTTCAGCTAAGGATGAAGAAGAATGTCTCAGTAGCCTAGTTAGAGTTAGTGCTGCTAGGGTTAGACCAAGATTTTTGTCTCCATATAAAGAAAAAAGTTTCAACCGGGGTGGATCAAACAGGGGCCAACTGCCCCATCAACAGCCCCCTTCCTAACCAAGTGAATTTTCTTTTTCTTGGCAGTTGTGGGTCATCTTTAAGGGTTTAAATGGTCTGGAGTTGGTCAAACTCAAACCTAATTTGATAGGAGGGACTTAACTGGATAACTAAGAGTTAAGTTGACTTTATTCCGGTTAACAAAATGAGAGACAGCGTTAGTGATTATATATAATAGAACAGACTCATTTTGCTTTATTAGTAATCTGTTTGTTCAGGTGCTCAATATGCCTGAACCATATATTTTATTATTTGCATGTTTTTTGCCTCTATAAATCACCAACTATTAATGGACAATGAAATTGTCAAAAACTTTGAAACAAAAATTAGACACTTATATCAAGCATTGTCCAACATCCCTTCACTACACCCTGCCCCAAATCTAGACATGTGATTTCATTAATGTATGCAGGACCATGCAGTGAATAAGCTGCACCCGGGACAAGGTCTGAAACTACAACTCCCAGCATTTAGAATATGCCCCCCCTGATATTAACACCCTGCCACATACCACCTTTGCATGGTCCTCATGGTTTGCCCGTCAGTTTCTAAGATGCTAAGAACATGTGAGACATAAATATTTAAACTAGTCAAAACCCACTGGTTTAGATAGAAGTAACTAGTACCTAGATATAAAGTAGTAAAAAATAAATGCTATATTTATTTAAATCTAGTTACATCGACTTGGCCAACAAAAATTGAACGTATCTTTGAAGAGTTCCCCTGCAATTCACAATGGCGCAGTGAATGACAAAAGATGCAAGACATTTACTTTTCTTTATCTCGTGCAATTTGATTAATTGTTTTTGTATTGTATAGTTTTAAATCTTTTTAATAATGAAATATGTTGATTATTTATAAAAGAGTCGACCATGAAACAAAAATAATGCCGTTTCATTTGCATTGAATTTAATGGGTTAAAATGGGAGATTACACTAATAATGTTCATTGTGTTTCTGAGGTGAAAGCCTCCTGGTAGCCTCCTACTACTTTTCATGTTTTTTTAGAGAGCTCTTTTTTAATAAACCATACCCAAAAGTATGACCCAGAGGGACACACCAGAATAAAACATCCCTTGAAAATAGAACTCAAGACTTATTGCCAATTAAAATTACTGACTAATGTGTTGCAGTGGCACTATGAGAAGGATATCTTGAAGAATTGTCTTGATTGTAGTTGTAGATGAGTGTAAATGTAGATTTTTATGCACGAATAAAGCTAGATTGTTGTACGGGAAGAAAAAAGCACATCCCTGTGTTTTTTTTTTTTTGGTGTTATTTCTGAGAAACTTAGACAGGGCGCTGGCTTAACAAAATTTCAACACTTGAATTTACGAAAATAAAGATGAACCATTGTTTGAAATTGGAACCCTGGTAAATGAGTAAACAATATTTATTTACATTTTTAATGAACAATTGATTAAAATACAATATGGAGATGATTGGGCATCTAATTTATATTAGTTTTAAATCTTGATACCCCTTCATAGAAAATGCAATTTCATTTTAAAAAATTATTTTTCTGTATCAGGCAAAATATAAAGATAAAGGTACAGAACTTGCAGAAACTCAGTTTGCTCAGGTAATACATGTTTTTGATGTGTTTGTTACAGCCATTGTTAAAAAAACGAAAAGCACTTACCTTAAAATTAGGAAAGGATTGTTTATGAAAACATGAAAAAATATCCAAGAATCTATCATTTTATGTGAATAGTTTTGTTAAGTTTATAACTCACCCAAAATAAACTTGTACGAATAAAACTTAGTTAACATTAATAGAATTATTTAAAACTGTTGAATTTCATCCTCAGACGTTGAGCTCTAAAATAAAGCCTCAAATCTATTGATGTTGATAATATTTTCTGGTGAATTTTTTCAGATGGGGAAACAAATGGAAATGTTCAAGAGCAATCTTGAAGACTTCGCTGCTAAACATAGAGATGACATTCGCAAAGATCCAGAGTTCAGGCTGCAGTTTCAAGAAATGTGTGCTTCTATTGGAGTTGACCCATTAGCATGTAATCATTGTTTTTAACAATGATTCTGTATTTTACCATCCCGTTGTTTTTAACATAAAAGTTTCTTTGCCAGATAATTTTTATTACAAACATTTCTCTCTCTTCAAATACAACATAGCTGTATAATTCCAAATCTCTATTTTTTTTAAGCAAACCTGTGGTCTAGGAGCAAATTTTTTTAATTTTATTTTTTCAAGCATTTTTAGCTATTCCCTTTATTGTGAATTTTTTTATTTATTTTCCAAAACAGCTAGCAAAGGTTTCTGGGCGGAAATGCTTGGAGTTGGAGATTTTTATTATGAATTAGGCATTCAGATTGTAGAAGTCTGCATGGCAACAAGCAAACGAAATGGCGGTGGGTGCATCTAAGCATAAAATCTTTTTATTTGATTAACATTGTAATACTTCGATAATGAATTTAAAGGTTTCAAAATTGTATGTAAAGCATCCAAAAGTATAGACAGATTTGATTAATTACCAACTGCTTAGTTTCCTTATAAGTTGATAGATATTATTACAGAAATAAAATGCAGTTGCTTACATTGTTTGTTTGTTTTTTGCAGGCTTAATTGGTATAGAAGATTTGAGACGTAAAGTTGAGGCCTCCAGGGGGAGAAATTCACAACCAATAAGCATGTAAGTTCTTTTCTGTATCTATTTCCCTTGAAAAAAAAAGAACTGGATAGATTCTGATAAATACAAATTCATGCTCTGTATTTCTAAATTGTGCAACCAATTCAAAAAATTTATCATAGAAACGAGACTCAAAATTATTCAGGTCTTTTTTTTTTAAAAACATTAGGCTTCCAATCAATATTCTTGTTTATCCACTGTTAAAATATATTTTTTTCTTTTTAACATCCTTGCGTATCCACAGTTTAAATAAGAATGCATATACAGTATAGAAATATGGTATGTTTAATGATTTTCTTAGAAACTGAAAAATCTTGGTCTTTGTAAAAATTAACATTACTAGATCTTACTTGTCAAACTTAACAGTGAATTTCATAATTGCATATTCTATTTATATGTTGTTTTTAAGTACTGTAATTAGACGTTATATGAGTGCAATGTATGTGGCTTATTACAGGGATGACTTACTTCGATCTATAAAAAAGTTGAAGATACTTGGCAATGGATTTACAGTTCACAAAGTGGGGGGAAGTTACCTTGTACAGTCAGTGCCAGGGGAACTAACCTTGGATCACACAGTAGTTTTACAACAAGCACAGGTAACTGGTGGATTTATTGACATAAACAGAAAGCTGTACATTCTCACCCAGCAATTATAACTGGAAAACTTTACCTTAAATACTCAGTTAACTGTCTACTTATCAAAAATGTATTAGTAACATTATTTTTTTTGCATATTGTTTTATTTCCTCTTTGTACTGACTGATATTTTTTATGCTACAAAAAAAGTGGAGTGGGGGGGGGGGGGGTTGTTAAGACAAGCTAGCTCACTTTGTGTGACCAAGAGGGAGAGATGGGAAAGTAGCTTTAAAAGTATGTGTGTGTACTTCTGAGACAAAAAGCAAGCAAACCGTGTCTCATTTTATATTCCTATTTGTCATAGTCTCTTTGAACACTATCAAACAAGTTTCGATGTTTTTGTAAAGGAAACAAAATTCAGGTTGCAGCTGCGGAATCAAATTCCATGGGAAGAGCTGTTATCTTTTAACTAAACATTCTAAAATAGTTATTGTCAATATATCACAAAAACAGTTCAGTCAAAAGTTTTTTTTAATGTTGTTTTCAAATTAGGAGCAGTCTAGAAGTTTTTTGTCCCAATCCATATGTAAATAAATATTAATTTTGCTTGTATGCATTTGTTTTAACCCATCCACACAAGTGCTCCAAATATAGATCCTAAAAGAATTGCCTTTGTTTTCTCTTAATAAGTTCTGGAATAACATCAGTTTACAAACAAAACTTAATAACTTAATAGCAGTTTAAAGTGTTATTATACCCTTTTGATTATTGGGTTACTCAAATCAGTATATCACACTCTCCATATACCCTTTGAAAAGATGATCAGGTTACTTAAAACAATATATCAGACTCTCCAAACATCATTTTAAGTTTATGGCATTCTATTGTCTCCTGTATGTCAAGGAAACTCATAAAGGTATGCTATATAAACTCCCAAATTCCTACCTGAGCACTTAAAAACATTTCATGTCTCCCCCCTCCTGTCTAACGTTGCCTCAACCCCCCCCCCCCTCCCCCCGTCCCCTTTTTAAAAAACAAAATGTAAATACAATATATAAACTCCCAAATTCCTACCTGAGCACTTAAAAACCTTTCATGTCTCCCCCCTCCTGTCTAACGTTGCCTCAACCCCCCCCCCCTCCCCCCGTCCCCTTTTTAAAAAACAAAATGTAAATACATTTCCTTCAAAGACTTAACAACCCGTTAAATTGCCCCAGACCCTGGTGGGCTTATGCCCCATTTTTGGAAACATTGATGTAAAAGAAACTTAATGTCATTCATTTCAGGAGAATGGCCATGTGACACAATCAAGTCTTATACAGATGTTAGGCTGGGAAGAAGAAAGAGCAAAACGATCTTTGGTAAATTTCATGTTCTTTATTGTTTTAGCTCAGGTTTTTTCCCCTCAAGGTGCATACAGATTTTGAAATGTTTTCAAGTTGAATATTGATCTGTTCAAAATAATTAAGTGATGGAAAGTTTGTTACCAACTCTATCTTTAGTTTTATTGATAATTACCTTTTTATTTTATTTCACAGGACTTTATGGTAAAGGAGGGCCTAGCATGGGTTGATGACCAAAGTGGCATAGAGCTTTCATATTGGTTCCCTAGTCTCATACCAGATTTTTCTAACTCTTCAAGCTGATCATAAAATCAAATAGTTTTTTGTTTTTCTTTTTTTACCAATACTTTTTAGTCAGTTTATTCATTTTCTCACATGTCAGAGATCCAAAATAATGATCTTGTTTGTGAATATGTTAAGTGTTTATTATGTAGGATTTAATGCATGTTTATTTAATTGAATACACAACAGCAATTCTTTTTTTTCTTTTTATTTTACATGAACATTTGAATTGAATGGAATAGCTGATACTAATAAGTCTGCTGTTTTTTTTCGCATGAAATAGAAGAGAAGTTCCATTTTAAAATACAATTTCAGAATATTACACCCCCCTTGGCTAAAATATTAAATGGTAATATACTTCTAAACATTTTATTTTCTGTAAATGTTTTAGAATACTTCATTTAATTCCCTTTTGGCTACTGAAAAGAAATTTGCTTCTTTATTTCGATTTTTAAGACACCAAACAATGTAATTCTTCTGTCTACTGTTACCAAGGAGGCCTCGCCACGTGTACATACCTGTAAATATAATTTATGAAATTAATGAGCGCAGGCTATATAGAAACGTCCATATTAGAGTTGGACTCTAATAACAGAGTCAGCAATCTGTTCACAAAGCAAGAAAAAGTAATGGTGTTTAAGTAGCTGGCTATGAGCTTACTACATCTATGACAAATTTAATACATAGCCAACCCTTACAATCACTTTGTAATTTGTCCATGATTTTCAACTCAATGTTATTATATGTTAAGTCTCATTATTCTGTGTAATAAAATACAATTTTAAAAGATGCTGTATTTTTGTTTCCTTTGTAATGTGATGTCATCCCACTCTATCTGTGGTCAAGTTATGCTATAATAGGCTTAGCCTGAGAAATTATCCCAACCTGTATCATCAATAAATGGTTTAACTGGTTTGGCCTTAGAAATTGTCACATCTCATGTGATCAATATTTCCATTGATAGTTTCTGCCCCATCTTATGAATATGCTCTATAATAGGTTTAGCCTGAGAAATCATCCCACTCCATCTCATCATTCAATGATTTTATAGGTTTTGCCTTAGAAAAACATGTGCTATCATAGATTTGTTTCCTGAGGAAAACATCCCACCTCATTTCATCAATATGTGCTATCATAGATTTGTTTCCTGAGGAAAACATCCCACCTCATTTCATCAATATGTGCTATCATAGATTTGTTTCCTGAGGAAAACATCCCACCTCATTTCATCAATATGTGCTATCATAGATTTGTTTCCTGAGGAAAACATCCCACCTCATTTCATCAATATGTGCTATCATAGATTTGTTTCCTGAGGAAAACATCCCACCTCATTTCATCAATATGTGCTATCATAGATTTGTTTCCTGAGGAAAACATCCCACCTCATTTCATCAATATGTGCTATCATAGATTTGTTTCCTGAGGAAAACATCCCACCTCATTTCATCAATATGTGCTATCATAGATTTGTTTCCTGAGGAAAACATCCCACCCCATTTCATCAATATGTGCTATCATAGATTTGTTTCCTGAGAAAACATCCCACCCCATTTCATCAATATGTGCTATCATAGATTTGTTTCCTGAGAAAAATCCCACCTCATTTCATCAACATGTACTATCATAGATTTGTTTTCTGAGAAAACATACCACCCCATCTGATGAAATATGCTATAATGGGTGGTGCCCTTGGTGTATTAAGACTGAAATATTGTCCCACCCAACTAATTAATCTGTGCTGTAATGGTGGAGACCTGAGTCGTCAATAGTGCTTGTCAGTGGTGCTTGTCAATGTTGCTTGTCAATGGTGCTTGTCCATAGTGCTTGTCAATGTTGCTTATCAATAGTGCTTGTCAATGGTGCTTGTCAATGCTGCTTGTCAATGGTGCATGTCCATGGTGCTTGTCAATGGTGCTTGTCAATGGTGCTTGTCAATGATGCTTGTCTCACCTGTGCTGTAGACTCATACTGTCATCAGCCCTACCCTCCTATACTGCACCGAAATTAGCCAAATCATACAGAATCATCGCGAATAGTTTTGCTCGTAAATTAAGTCTCAAGGCAACAAACGGCATAAGAGGAGTACATAGAATTTGAGATAACAGTGTTTTAAAAAACTACTTTGTATGGAAACTTTAAACTTTACAGTTAAACTTATAAAGCTTTACTTTCAAAATGCATAGATCTACCTGTCATTCACTTCACCCAAAAATCAGCATTCTTCACCTTATCACTTTCAATTTACAAATAAAAGATCACTTTCAGTGAACACTTACTAGATAGGGGTCAGTTTGGGAACGGACACCAGTACCTCGCCTTCATTCGCAATTAGTAGACTCTTAGCGTGAACAGCCTCAAATATATCAGGTACTTCCAATGGAAGTTCCATTGATGGCTCTTGACCTGATTTGGAGTTCAGAGTGAAAATGACCCATAGACTTTATCTGTACCATTACCCTCTTAATTTCTTCTTGCAAGGAGAATCTGGCGTCTCTTGATTGGCTCCCCCAGCGATTTTACTTATGAACCTTAGTCTTCTCTCAATTTAAACTCCATGTTGGTCAAGGTTCACCAAGAGAATTTTCTTCATATGACACTCTATTCTGTTGTTGTTATTGTTGCTGTTTGTTGACAACGTGCTGTTGTATTTATTTAACTTAGATATCTTGTGAAATCAATTCAAGCGAGCTCTGTTAAATTTTCAATTTTCCCTTTGGTGCCAAACCTATCCCCCCCCCCCCCCCCCCCCGTGAGGAGGTCAACTGGTGTGGACGTACTCACTAGGGACGCCACACAAAAAGTGCCGCCTTTGGCGGACCAACCCCTCTGCAACCCCCTCCCTACGCCACTGTGTCTATACTAATGGTGTGCTAAGTGTGGTAGAATAGCTACGTTCTGAATTTTGTGTCAGAGCATTTTAACTATATTTTACTTATAATATTTTACTTTTTAAAAGTACTTTGTTATATTTTTTACTTTGTACATTTTTTCAAGACAATGGAGAACTAGGGCGGTATTTCTTAGAAGAAGATTGTTGTGTTTTTACGTTTAAGTACTCGAGACTTAAAAATTTGCCTGGACACTTGTGGGTGGTCACGACAAAATGAAATAAAACATAGGAAGACCACACCGGATTGTCGCAAAGCTAGGCTTTGTTGTGGGCACAGTGTGACCATAAGACTAATCCTATTACTCAAGATGAGCTGCTGCTTATTTATGGTGTTTTCCAACCCTGGCTCACGTTCTTCTCTTAGAGCGGTGTTGAGTCTAATTAGTGTCCATATATTTAGTTCCGCTCGCTACACCGGCTTTTGGGAATAGAGTGGCGTGAGGGATCGATACATTGCTTTGACGATTTTCTCGCTTGTGCGTGATACTAGTGATAGCACGGTTAACGTGTGTGTGTTTGTTTGTCCTTAGGGCAGATGATGCTCCAAGACATCGTTAGGACTTGTACCCATTTTAAAAGTATGCTGAAGACCTACGTCTTCCGTTTGGGGCATAATTCATAAAGTTCATTCCTTTAAAAAAAAAAATTAAAAATAAAATGTTTTCTAGGCGTTTCATCCTAACTAGCTGAACATTTCTTTCAATAAATATGGGTATTCTTTTTTTGGCCCGAAATAGCATGAAATATCCCATTGATTTAGTTTATTTAGTCATGGATTTTTGGCCAAACCTCTATTTGAAAAAACTATCATCATGGTCGTAGAATTAATTACCTCCTATAGTTCACCACGATTTTCTAGATATGAAAACATTGGTGGTGTTTGCCCCCATTTTATCTGTGCTGTCACGTAACTCAAAAAAAAAAAATGAAAAAAATAGAGACGTGAATGCATGCATTGGTCGACATTTCACAACCTAATGGGCTTAAGGCAAGGTGTATAATGATAAAATTAGTGGCACCGGTATTAAATCCAAGCTTCTTACACCAACTCTAGAAGTAGAGCAACACACAACAGGAGATCAGTCTCCAATTAGATGACACAACATTTTACCTTCTAGTAACTTCTAAGCCCATTATAATAGTGCAATATAAGATGTCTTTATTTTAATTGATATCCTAATTTTCTTTTAATACAAAATATCGTATCCTATAGCTGCTGTGGTCGAACAGTTTGTCAACATCCGGGGACTCGGGCTGATTTCAGAACCTCATAGATTTGAGGCTACTGATAAATTCAATTATAATTATATTGATATTTCCTGGCCGAAGGGCTAAGCCAGTAATCCGCCAAGGGGACTGAATGCAGGTCAGCCCTCAAGATGACCATGAATTATAGATTCCAATGGTCCTGTGTTGACATTAAGTCGTCAGCATGTGCATGCTCTTTGGTGGCCGGTGTTGCAGGGTGTGGGAGCTCGGGGTCAGTCGACCCCCTTAATCTGCCTGGCTGTCCTACCACAGCCTCTCTGAGCCTGGAGAACGTTTGACCTTAGGCAAAGATTTTGGCCGCTACATTGTCAAGATGAGTCACGAAAATTAAATCATGTCGACACCGTTCGCCGGGCAAAGTGCCTAAAATAGGGCAATTTGTGTAACTGTATCAACTTGGTTGAAATATAATAGCTATTTCCACATCGGGGTTAAATACCTTATAATCTCTATTATTTTTAGAAAAGAATGTGCAAGCTCTGTTGGTTTGCGACACATTCAGAGCATTCGCCACGTTTGAAATGTTAAGGTAAACAATATATTGTTTTATAGTTGTTACATTTTTTTTTTCTTAATACTGCTACGACTTTCATTTTGTGTGATCCACGGTACAGATCAGTTTCGATATATAAAAAGTACCGAGGTGGCAACCTGACATGACTTGCAGAATACCAGTGTTATCAGGTGTTTGAATCAGGCTATTCAATGTTGCCACTTTGGAAGTTTACAATTTTAAACTATTATCAGTTAAAGTTTTTGTTAAAAGTTTTTTGTTTTGCACATCGGAATGACATTTACTTTTGGACTAGCAAACATGAAATTAGACCTCTGAACTTGTAGAAACATTCTCTATATTTAGTATAGAAACTTTAATGATAAAATGGTATTCAATACATCACAATTTCACTAATACTAATCGTTATTTCTAATATTATAGCGTATTTGGACTAAACACATACGCACTTATGTTATACTTATCATACTTTTTTCAATAACCAAACAATTTTGAGTTAGCTATAACCTATGATTTATAATTGTTTTTTAAAACAACCCCTAAATACAGCACAGAAGATCTTCTCCTGCCAAAAGATCATAGCCCCAGCATAGAAGATATGCTCCTTCCAAAAGATCATAGCCCCAACATAGAAGATATGCTACTGCCAAAAGATCATAGCCCCAGCATAGAAGATATGCTCCTGCCAAAAGATCATAGCCCCAGCATAGAAGATATGCTCCTGCCAAAAGATCATAGCCCCAGCATAGAAGATATTCTCCTGCCAAAAGATCATAACTCCAGCACAGAAGATCTGCTCCTGCCAAAAGATCATAGCCCCAGCATAGAATATCTTCTCCTGCCAAAAGAACATAACTCCAGCACAGAAAGATCTGCTCCTGCCCATGGTCAGTGCCCTAACAGAGAAGATCTACTACTGCCCAAGGTAAAATCCCTAGCAGAGAAGAGCAACTCCTGCCCAAAGACCTTGACAATCTAATACTCACCATCCCGACTGTTCTCTGAATCTATCTGGGAAATGGCTTGACGAAAGTGAAGCCCTTTCCCAGATATATTCTTGTCAACGCATTTCGGTTGTATGTTCCTTTTAAATTTTTCACTAAAAAACGATG